TCTCCATAACACATTCCACATGTGCACAACAACAGGTGCAACAAGTGGAGATAAGAATTGTTTATCATTCCCTTCTCTGATCTTCCTACAGCCTTCCCCAGGACAATGCCTGGGAAAGTTGTGTGTTGCTCTCTGTGGTCAGAGAGCTGCTGCCACATCAGGTACCCTCTTTTAGTTAGACAACTGTATAATTCAAGTGTATTTTATGACTTACCTCAAAAGACTTTGTTCATTGATTCATAAAGTACAGCACTGTATTTGTTTTTCCCTGACTTGACCATAGAAAAGCACTAACATAAGCATGCATAGTGAGCTATCATTGATACTCATGTGAACAACTGGATACTTCCCAAAAGCAGAAAGCTGTAAAAGTTGTGTATCAGTTTCAATCAGGAAATATTTTTTCCTTAGCAATCATTTTCTGCCAGTCATTACAGAACAGTGTGTTCTAGGTTCATCTTTCTGGACTGTGTGTACATTTTCTATCATTATCACATCATATCACATTTCTCTAAAGGGAAAAAATTTGCAGGATGCAGAAGCCAGGAATCTGTGTCTGCCTTTGCAACACTTTTTCTCAGGGTCTTCTCCAGCAAATAAATGCCCCCTCTTCCCTTCCTCCCCATCCAGCAGCTCTATGGTTCCTGGAAGTCAGGCTGTGGAAAGGCTCAGCTTCAGCAAAGTGTGTGGAAAGCCCCTCAGTCAAGATATGCTTTGAGCAGGTATTTAAAATATCCTCTGGTTAATTTGCTTCTATTCATCTTCTATCAAGTAATTTCCAGCTTCAGACTGTAAAAAAGGTGAGAAGTCACTCCACAAAGAAGCTTGTCTGTGGCCAAATGCAGTTGGTTCAGGAATTATTACGAGTCAAAATGCATTTAATCAGCAATGTAATTTCCAAATGACAGTTCAAGTTAGGATTTTAAGTGGCATTTCTATAAAAACCTCTTTTCACAGCTCCAAATATTTCTCATTTACTTACTGCAACCAGTCCAATAGAATGTTCTGTGTGAGACTCACTGACTTGGAAGTCAGGTTTTCCTGTTTTCCATGTTAACATTAATTTTTGTTGCAACAGGTTCAAGGTACTTTTTACCAACTGGAAACCATTACAAGAAGATCAACCTTCTTTCTGCACCCTCTACAACAACTCTGGTTTACTTTTATGCCAAATGCATGAAAAGACTAAAGTGCTCTTATATAAAAGCATTTAAGGAATATAAGCATTTTAAGGAATCAATTTCACACCCATACTTTTAAAATTATTTTGCAGTAATAGACCCCACATTGTCACTACTGCTAAATTACAGAAAATCTTTTCCCAGCAAATACATGTAGCAAACAAAAGGGTGTGCATGAAAAACTTCAATTTGTGTAGCCTGTATTTCTCAGAAAACTGTCTGAAGTTATTAACCATGTAAATTGAACATACAACCTGTTTTATCCATGAGTAATAAACAAATGCCTCCAGGTGATCATTTCATTTGAGATATCTGTTATAGTTTGAGTCTGCATTGCTTTGTGTCTTTCACTACTACAGAGAAAGGGGTGTATTCTCACTTCCTTTAAATAACAATAAAAATTAATAAATCACCTATATCAAAATTCAGTTTGAATTCTAAGAAAAGTCATTATGGTTTGTTTGCTCTGTTTCCTGTTGGCCAGATTTAGTTCAAATAAGGGATTTGTTCCAGAGGATCAGCTGGGCTTTGGTTTAGTTACACCTGACTCTCACAGAGAAAGAAAAAAAAATTGTGTTGTTCTAATGTTTTCTACACAGAATTCTCTGTTCACTTTCTGTGTATCCTTCCACACTGTTGTTATAATTCATTTACAACAGGCATTGGTTTATTTGGCTTATGGGAGAAATATGATTGAAGGGATGAAGCTCATCTCTCTCATTGACCTGTATATGATATTTTCTCTTATTCTAATGTAACATTTAAATATATTAGATATGTTTCTTCCCATAGGTGACTTGAGAGGTGTATTTTATCTACTTGCAAGAAAAAGTTGAGCTGAAATGCAAGTGCTTTCACTATTGGGTTGTCCCAGGAGATGGAATGAGTTTTACCCCAGATTTTTTTTCTGGAGTCAGATTCCTGATGTGCCATAGCAGAGATTTACAAAATGTTTCTAATGATTTACTATGTCTAAAGTGAAGCTGAATTAACAATCTCTATATGCTTAAAAATGACAATTATGCACTTTACAGTGCTCAGCGTTGCCACATTTCAGCAAAGATTGAAAAGAGCATGAACACAGGCACATATTGAACTTTGATATGAGAAGTATATGATTGTTCTGATGGAAACGTTTGCTAATCCATTTTGGGCTTATTGAAAATGACTTTCACACACATGCACAAAATCCCTCCTGCAATTTTGTATGTTACACTTTAAAAGCTCTCTGGAATAATAGTACTATAAAAGAATGATATTCATCACCTGAGGAAACCATGAAATCTCCTTGTTGCAAACTTTCTAGAAACATACAGAAAAACATCTCTAAGGAGCAGCCTATTTTTTACAGATCACTTTCTGGGAACACAAGAGAAGGAATAGGCCTCTAAAAGTTTCTGAATAAAATTTTTATTATTCCATTATACTGTGCTTATGTACGGTTACTCTGACAGCAACTTTTTGATTGATTGACTCTGTTGCTTCTCTCTAATAATAATAATAATCTGGAGTGGAAGGTGAACTGGGTTGTGTGGAAGAAATCAGTACTGTACCTTTTTGCTAAACACAGTTAGGTCTGCAAGGTGTTCTGACAGCCAAGAAAAAAGATTTGTGCAATGTTAAGAACCACTCAGAACTGCATGGATTTTAATTTGAAGTGCTATTTTTACTGTCATTTTCGTAAGTGGAAATAAAGGATTGAAGAAACTGGATTTTTGTCTTCATTGTTAAAGATAAATCAGATTTCTGCAGTTCAGGTTTACACAAGGCCTGGAGGAGAACTTCCACAGTCAAATCACTCAAGCTGATCTTTTTTAAATAACTTTCCATAGATTTATCTTTAATAATATACATATGTTTGTAGAACCCCATAAATACTTAATTTATTTTTTAATTAAATTACCCCACCCCTTCAGGTAATCCACATAAGGAAGTGGGAACTGCTATTCTAAATTGTTCTTTGTACCATGGTCCCGGATGCCAGTTTTATTAATCTTTTCTTTCTTCCCAATTATTTCACCCACAGACCAAGAATTGTAGCATATCTGACAGTCATCCTTTAGAGAACAAATTGTTTTCACTATTCAAACAGGTGGGGCATGCTTTAAAGAAATACTTGTGGTAGCATAATTTCATTTTAATAGTTCAAATAAAGCTTGGGTGACTGGAGTGAATGAATGAAAATTGTTGAGTAAGGTGGATGGGGTAAAAGAATGGAAGTGTCTCCCAGGACATTGGGAATCTGGAGCTGCTGGACTGCCTCCCCTCACAGTCAATAGAAATGCAGTCAATAACTATAGTAGGTGTCTCATGAGGCTTTCTGATGGTGATAACCCTGGTCTCATCAAAATTGTCACAAGCACTTCAGATAAAAAAGTAACTGTGCCCTTATCTTAGAGCATGGAAGGATATGGGAGACCTTATCAGAGGCAACTTCCCGTGAGTGCTGCCCGCTATACAAAGAAAGAACAAAGGCAGCTGTGTTTCCCAACACAGGGGTTATAATACAGTATTAGAATTCTGGCAACAGCAGGCAGCTGCAGGAATTCTGCAGAAATCTGGAAACAGTGAGGCAATATTGACTTGCAGCATGGGCAGCAACCTGTGCCCAGTGTAGTGAAAAGGGTGCTCAGTGTGCAACACACCACAGCAAAGGCAAGGATGAGGAAGGGAACAAAGAAAGGAATAAGGAGATGTGCAGGTGCTTTATGCCTTCTAATACAAACAGACTGCATGGAAGGAAGCAAGAAAGGTTGTGTTTGAACTGAGAGGATCTGTAAAAGCTGCCTCTGTGATATTTTACCTTAGAGTGGAAACAAAGATTCTACAAGAAGGAAGGATGAGCAGAGTGATGCCAGGTTGGATAGGGCTTGGAGCAACCTGGACTAGTGGAAGGTGTCCCTGCTCAGGGCAGGGGGTTGGAACTTGGAGATCTTTAAGGTCTTTTCAATCCTGACAATTTCATGCTGCCCTAGAGCAGAGCACATGCCACACATCTCTCCAGACTGAAGACATGAAACATCTGCAGCCAATCTTGAGCAACATCTAGGGTGAGTTATGTGTACAATAATCACAGAATCACAGAGTGGTTTGGGTTGGAAGGGACCTTAAAGATCACCTTGTGTTTGGGCAGAGACACCTTCCACTAGACCAGATTACTCAGAGCCCCATCCAACCTTGTCTTGAACATTTCCAGGAACAGGGCAGCCACAGCTTCTCTGGGCCACCTCTTGCAGTGTCTCATCACACTCATAGTCCAGAATTGCTTCCTAATATCTATTCAATATCTATTCTATTCTTCCCCCTTTCAGTTTAAAGTCATCCCCCTTTGTCCTCTCATTATATGTGCTGGTAAAAAATGATGCCCAGTGCCACAGCCTCAGTGAGCTAATGGAATATAACTTTTATTCAGCAAATGGAAGTTCAGGAACCACTTGGATGAAAATATCACTGTGTTGCCCACAGTTGTTCTGTGTACAGCTAAGAAGATGCTCACTTATGTCTCTGCCTCAAAATATTTATCCCACTCTTTTGCCAGAAACAGGAAACACAACTGTAAAACAACCAGCTCGGAATTCAAGCTTTTATTTTGTGAACACATTAGCACTGTAGCTTGCTGATCAGACTAGAAGCTGAAGTTCTGCAAAAGGACATGTCTTCTGTCTTCTCTTTTTCCTTGCCATAGAGACAAGAAAAAAAATCCAGAAAAATGCATCTGGATTGGTTCATTTTCATCACCTGTTCCTCAAGGAAAGTTCTTCTTGCAGAATGGGCAGCCCCAAAGCTGATGTCATTTATCAGCAATAAATATTGACAAGGGAAAAAAAAGGGGAAATGTGTATATATATACAACCCTGGACTAAGGACAGCCTTTCACTCTCCTGCCACTTCCTCAGATACGGGAGGATTCTGGTGGATGAAGGTAATGTATGCAAAATGCAATTTCAGCCTTAGAGATTTTATCCATACAGTCTCTTTTTTATTGTGCTACAAATTTTAGTGGAGTTAATAGCTAAGTTGCACCAATAATTGATAATGTGATAATTGAAAGAAAATTTATGCTTATAATATCTCAGAGAAAGAATGTAAAATAAAACATATCTTCTCTGAAACCACACTTACCATGAGTAGGGATCAAAAATTGCTTCAGTGGAGTCAAATTTCCACATTTCTTTAGATCAAAATGTAACACTTTGACCCTTGCTTCTTCCTACAAATGTGAACATATAAAAATCCATTTTGCATGGGGTTGTCAGTCATGGGAAATGCTTTTCTAATGTCTTTTGAATTGTTCTGGTGTTAAATTTATACCATGTGAGTATTGGGATACTCCAGTACATCTGAATTGAGAATTCTTTCACTCTAAATGTTAACTACCCGTCCAAACTTTCAGGTATATATGCTGCTGAAATGTCTAATGTATATATTATAGTATGTAGTAAGCTGATTAACTTTTCTTAATGGAGAGTGAATTTATTACTTTAATGAAATCAAAAGAGGTAAATTCAGAGAAGGTAGAGGAAAAACATCAAAATAAGTAAAAAGACAAATATTCCCACTCTGCCAAACTTTCATACTTGCTATGCCCTGAAAGTTGTATCAGAAGGCAGGAGAAAGTTTCTACAGATGAATGAAATGCCAGGATTAAACATAAAGACTCTATTTTTCAAGTAGAAATTTGTTTACAGTTTTGAAGCTATCAATGGGTTTTTTTGTATTTTACACTCAATCAAATTTTCATGAAACCTCAGGTTTTCAAGTAGACCAGCCTAAAAGTGCATTGCTGGCATTTGGTTTTCAGAAGCATAGAAGTGATTTAGTGGATTGAGCACTGACAGGGAAGGATAATGTATCTGGGAACCATCATCTTTGACTTTGAAAGTAAAGCCCAACACATTTAGTCCAAGAGACAGATTTGATGGTAGAGTCTGGCAGTTGAAGATGTGCAGTAGTATTTAATCAACTTTAACTTTGGATCCAGAAATATTTTATGTTTCCTGTTGCCGAATTTAATCTGGGAAGTCCCAAAAATATTTTGTTTCTGTGTGTGTGGAAGGTAAAGACAACTCCTCGGTGTCTAAAAATATCCCTGCAGTTTAAGAATTTATTCTTCATTAATATCAGTGATATCTCTGCCTCTACCTCATGCAAACGATTTCCTTATGAAATCACAGGAAAACAAGATAAAGACTGAATATCTGAATGACTTGATAGGACAAGGGTTAGTGATTCTAAACTAAAGGGGGGGACTTTTTATTTTTTTTTACAATGTTAGTTTCTCTATCAAGCAGAATTTCCTAGATTTCTATTGAACTGTCCTGCTCACACCATGGATTTTTCTGAGAGGCCAGCTCTAAGATATTTTATATTTGTTGGGTTTTGTTATCTCTATTTCCCTCTTGCCTGTCTGGTTTTAGGCAGCCTGCTGAGCTCAAAGCTAATCTCTCTTGGGATTTTGCCACATCTTTTTAACTACCAAAAAGACTCTTACCTGTGTATATCCTCATCAATACAAAGATATATAACTTTTGGTCCTTTTGATGTGCAGAAAAAGCATCCTGTTCGTATGAATGGGTTTCAGAGTGTCTGTATACACCTGCATGAGATGCCTCAGGAGTCAGAGTGCAGTAGCCAACATTATTTGTTAATAACATCATATTTGAAGGTTTTCTTTATGTCTAGGTGTTAGATGAAATATGAGGGTGATCACCACCATTTTCTTGAGTCTTTATGATGCTGATTTAATGAGGAAACAGGGAAGTGGGAAAGAAATGGAGACTACAGTCCATGTGGTCAGTGCTCCACTCCAAAACACCAAATCTCACTATGGATGAGGCTTGAGAAGGACTCTGATGTAACAGTGCTGAAAACATTAATGGGCTTTTTTATATACAGGGAGGCAGACATTAAGGAAATGCTGCAAAATCAAGATAGCTTGAATAAAGGAGTCAAAAGGGGGCTGATCCACCTATTCCAAATAACACACAACTTTATGCTATTTACAGTCCCTGCTTCCATGCAAGCTGGAGTCTTCTCTCTGTAGGAGGCAGTGGTGCCCATGCACAGTTCCAGCACATCCATATTCAGAATCAACTAAAATAAACTTCTTTGTTCAGGCTTCACTTTGCAACAGTTTTGTATCTTGCTCACATATCACATTATGCTATAAAATGTATGCAACAGAGACTAATGGATTTTGGGGGTTTGTTTTTGGGTTTTTTCCCCCCTGTAGAAATGGATCTACTAACTGCAATTATTCTCCTGGCTGCTTTGTTACACCACTCTGATGGACAGGTAGGAACATTCATCTGTGCAAAACACCCATAATTGACTCTTTTGTATAGAAATCTGATATAGTCTGATATTTTGATCTCTAAGATTTAGAATTATGCGGTGCAAGTATTATTAGTATGTTAACATATTGAAGATGAACTCTCATTTAGTACAGATTATTATTATTGTTGTTGTTGTTGCTGTTGTTGTTGTTGTACTGGTTGAGCAACTTGGTCTAGTGGAAGGTGTCCCTGTATAAGACAGGGGCTTTGGAGCTACTGGCTCTTTGAGCTTCCAACCCAAATCATTCTGTGATCCTGCCTATCAAAATCCTTTTCCCTTCATGGAGCTAATTTTGAAAAGACATTTTTAATAAATAAATGAATAATTTAAGATTGAGACATCTGATTCATAAATCTCCTACAGAGGATTAGGTTTGTAAGATAACTGCTATGAAGGTACTTGCATGAGAGCTATTTATCAAGATCTTCTTATTAATGAATGAAAAGAAAAAAGTACTTTAGGAAAGAAAATTATCATTTTCTTCTATAAATCTGAGGTGAACCTCAGAGGTGGTTATTGAGGTGCTGTAAGTTGATACTTTCCTTTACCTGAGTATAGCTGCAGCCTAAAACTACTGGCTGAGATGTTATTTCTACCACCATAAATGTCTTAAGTTAAACAAGATTTATGAGATCAATTATTGGTGTAGGTTCAGTTGACCAAACAAAAGTGACAAGAAGCTCATAATTTATCTTACTTCTTATACTTCTGTTAACTGGGACCTTCACTGTTATTTTTTCAGGGTTTCCCATATAAAAATGTGAAGGCTTTCTCCTTTCCTCATTTTAAGTCTCAGAATGAAAAACAGATACTTGATCTACACAATGAAATACGGAGATCTGTAATTCCCACAGCCAGGAACATGCTGAAGATGGTGAGCTATGAATTACAGCTAGCCTGCTCTTCCCTTAAAGGAAATTATGGGACAAACCCAGCATCAAAGGAATCTGTGGGATGAAGGGATCAAGAGCAGCCTGATGAGAAGGGCTTGGAGATATTCATGGATGAGAAACTCAACATGAGCCAGCAAGATGCTCCAAGGGCTGGAGCACCTCTGCTATGGAACCAGGCTGGGAGAGCTGGAGATGTTCAGCCTGGAGCAGAGAAGGATCCAAAGAGACCTTGGAGCCCCTGCCAGTGCTTAAAGGGGATCTATAAAAATGAGGGAAAACAATTTATCAGGGCCTCTTGCAGTAGCACAAGGGCTAGTTGTTTTCAGTTAAAAGCAGGTAGATGAAAATTAGATAGAAGAAGATTTTTATGATGAGGGTGGTGAGGCCCTGGCACAGGTTGCCCAGAGAAGCTGTGGCTGCCCCATCCTTGGATGGGTCAAGACCAGACTGGATGGGGCTCTGAGAAACCTGGTCTGGTTGAAGATGCCCCTGCTCTTTGCACAGAGTTTAGACTAGATGACCCTTCAAGGTCCATTCCAACCCACACTATCTCTAGATGACCCTTCAAGGTCCATTCCAACCCACACTATCTCTGATTCTCTGAATCTAAGAAGAGAAACAAACCCTGGATGAAGGGAAGAGCATCCAAAGCAAAGAGGGAGCGGGAGCCCGAGCAGCAGCTTGTGAATCTCACACTGTCAGGAGGGCAAAAGAGACCTAGATCTGCAAAACCTCTCCCATCCCTGTCACCCCTGATAGTCCTTGTTATCCCTGTCCCACGAGCAGATTAGCTGGTCAATGCTTTGGGGTTATTCCTGTACAGCAAGGCCTGAAACATTCCCCAGGTTCAAAGCCCAGCTGATGTTAATCACCACAACTCAGCTGCACCTGGGCTGAAAATCAGATTTATAGCATTTAGTCCAGTGCACCCTGCAGTGTTCATTCAGACACAAGCTGAAGGAAAGCAGTAGTATGTTATAAAAACCATCAGCACCATCTGGAGATCAAGACTGTGTGATAGAACTGTGCAGGATAGCCTGTTCTGAAACCTTTAAGGGTTGAAGAAATGTGGTTTCTGTGCCCCAGGAGAGGAAATCAGCACAACTCCTTTCTGTTGAGGGCCATAGTATTCAGTGCTGAACACCCAAGCCATTCCCTATTTTTTTTCCTTCTCATGGGCTGCACTAACCTATCTGTGACCTGGATACTTCTTCCTTTGTGTCTTTCAGGTGTGGAGTGAGACAACTGCCAAAAATGCTCAGAAATGGGCAAGTCAGTGTGGGATGAAAATCAGTCCAAGAGACAGGAGAGTTATTAATGGTACTGACAAGCATGGAGCCTGAGCTGAAGGGTTAATGTCAGTTTGCAGATGACCCCTGTGAATGTGAAATAGAAATAAGCATGATTTTAATCTGTTGTAAAATAGCTTTTTAGGCTTATTAGATGGAAGGTGTCCCTGTACATGGCAGGGAGGTCAGAACAAGATGATCTTTAAGTCCCTTCCAACCCAAACCATTCAATGATTCTGTGATTATTAAACAAAAAATAATTTGTGTCAGATAAACACTCTGAAAGACAACTTTTTGCAAGTCCTTAAAATCACAGGGCAAAGTGAATGGCATCATAGCATTTTTTAGCACATAGCTACAGCCCCTCTGTCCCACCTCCTGCCCTATACTTTGCTTCTCTCCTAATAAAATAGATTTACTTCTACTCCAGGTGTCACCTGTGGTGAGAATGTGTTACTGTCATCCTACCCACGAACATGGGCTGATGCAATCCAAGTGTGGTACAGTCAGTCCTCCAATTTCAAGTATGGATATGGACCAATCTCCAAAAATGTCAATATTGAGAGCTACACTCAGGTATGGAGACTTGAAACGAATTGCAGGGATACACCAGAATCACAGGAGTACACTAAAGCCAGCTGGGAGTTATTTATAATCAGGAAAAATTTATCAATGTCATCAAACTATTATCTATAATTCATACTCTGATCCAAAGATGAATGATAAGATAAAATTCTTTTCCATCGAATTAGTAGGCAACAGAACCAGTATTTTTGAAGAGCTGTCCAAAAAGAAAATATTAGTCTGTAGAAACACCTTTAATTTAGAAATAAATATTTTCTATACAGGAATTGAAATACGTGATTAAGAAGTGTCAAAGCAAAATACCTATGATGAAAATACTTGAATTTCAACTTCAGTAGCCTGCCAGAAACTGTGTTCAAAAACATTTGGAAATTGGAGGAAACTCATTTTTCTATGTATTCTTTATGATAGCTAAACTTTAAATTTAAAAGCTAACTAGAAAAAAATGAAAGGAAAAAAAAATATTTTCTGGTTCTGTTACTTTGTGAGGTTTTGGGGTTTTTTTACAAGAACTCACTCTGAAATAATGTGTTTATCTTTTAATCTACAGCTAATCTGGTACAACAGTTACAAGGTGGGATGTGGAGTTTCCTACTGTCCCGCAGGCCCGTACAAATACTTTTATGTTTGCCAATACTGCCCTGCGTACGTACTGCCCACTTACTGAGTCGTGGTGATTATGGATATGTTTCCAAAACATCCTTGGCAATAGGATAAAACAATTGCAATCTACTTTAACCATTTAAACTTTTGAAAATACCAATGTGAATCGTGGGTTTAACAGCATGCTGAATATCAGTATTTCTTTTATTTTGCATTGAAAGAGATATTAGGGAAATTTTAGGAGATGAACAAGGGTTTATCTCTGTCAGAATCAGGCATCAGGCACAAATAGTGCTGTAATTTTGACCACAAAGGAGAAAAATCAGATGCAAATTGGAAGCAAACAGCAAATGAATATTCACAGAGGTAAAGAACTGTATTTCAGAGGGGTTTTGCTGAGGTTTGGAGCAACCTGGTCTAGTGGGAGGTGCCCCTGCCCATGGCAGAGTGTTGGAACTAAGTGATCTCTAAGGTCCCTTCCAACCCAAACCAGTCTGTGATTCTGTGATTTTATGATTACCTCAATCAGTTGAAATCTATTACAGAAGCAGAGCTAGGAAGCACGTGCATTTTATTAGTAGATAATGCTATACATATACAATCAATCAATTAATTTTGTTTCTCTAAACCTTATTGTCCCTCTTATTTAAAAACAATTCTTTTTGTATTCTATAAATACCTGAAATTAAAACACGACTGCTTATGAAAATATCTTTATACAAAAAATTCTGGATTACTTTTACTGCAATAAATAACAAACTCCAGTAAATGTCTCAGAGCTTCATGTTGATTTTGTTTTGTTTTGTAATTCTTTCAAATTTCAGAGGAAATAACCCAATGCAAATAGCTATGCCTTACAGAAGTGGACCAAAATGTGCTGACTGTCCTGGCCACTGTGACAAAGGACTTTGCAGTAAGTCTTTCCATTCTCCTTAAAAAAAAAAACATATTCTATAATATTCAAGCCATTTTAATAGCAGAGCAAAAGTACAAAGTTTATATAGACATGGACAATTGGAATTTCTGGAAAATGCAGAATCAGCAAACTGGAGCTCAGTTTCCATATAATATTTCATGTGTTTGCTTCTCTCTCTTTTATTTCAGCCAACCCTTGCAAGTATCAAGACCTTCTTGGAAACTGCAAAAATCTGCAAATGTTGTTTGGCTGTAGCCACTCACTGGTGAAGAAGAAGTGTCCTGCAAGCTGCAAATGCACCACTCAAATCCTCTAAAGCCCTGCTGGGTGTCATTGCAGCTGCTGAGAGATTATAAGGAAAGAGTAGAACTCACTGTAAAGTGTATTCACTCTCAGTGCATCTGCTCAGATTGACCTATAGGTAACAATTTTATCTGAAATCTGACCATTACTTCAGTCTTCAATTAGACTAGTACCTCAAAATAACCTCTGATGTTATTTTAGGTTTTGTAGAAATCATGTTTTAAGCTACTAATGTGTTACTTTGTGTCTTTCCTTGCAGTGGATCTGCCACTGATTTATTTCTTTTTAATGGGAAAAACACTTTTAAAACACTTCAGGTTTTTTTGTGTAATTCGTTAGATGCCACTAAATTTTCTTCTGTTAACTTTTTTTTGATTGTTAATGGAATGTCCTCCTGCTAAATAAACACATGATCTACCACAAGTTCACAAACAGAGCTTGTAATTAAAGTTATGTATAAATAAAGGGGTGGATTTTTTTTATTTGGAAAATTCCTTATGGATATTTTAAGGTTCTTTTATACTTCATGCAAGTCTGGATGAGAAAGGAAAATAAGTACAAAGCAAAAGGGGAGGCAAATTTTGGTACATGCAAAATATGAGGTACACATTGTATCTGCAACTTTTCCTCTGACCTAATCACAAAAATTCTGCCACATCTGCCTGCTGATAAATGATAACTAAGGTGATAAATGATAACTTTATTCCTGTGGCTCTTTCCCACTAACTTTGCACCACACCGGGTGTCCCACCAGGCCACCAGCTGCCCCTGAAAGGATCCAGGTTTTCCATAGCCCTTGAATCACATAAACCCGCTTTGAGCAGGGCAGAACTCACTTTACCACTTTCCCTTCTTATTTCAGGCCAGTAAAAATAATTTTCTCCACAAGACTGCAATTCTAGATAAAGACACAAGAGGGTGAGCCATACCCAGACATGAACCTGCATTCCTTTTCATTTTTCTATCTGTATAAATAATATTCCCTTTTATTAGATATAAAAGTTCTGTACCTAGTCTGGCCTGGATATATCTCCTTTTATTAGATATTAAAGTTCTGGGCCTAGTCTTCCTTGCACAAAGTTTCTTAGTTTATATTGGCTCAATAAATAATTAAAACCTATAGAAACAGTCTGGCAGTGGTTTCCTCCCCTCTATTCTTTTATCTTGTTTTTGCTGGTCAAATTACCATCATATTCAATTTAGAGTGTTGAATTAGGGAAATTTATGGTTTCCAGTACATAAATTAATTCTTGTAACCTTGATTTTTTACCTTCATGAAGCTCAGTTTCACCTTCATTACCACTGCCACTGCGCAAGGCTCCAAAGAAGCTGGAGAGAGAATTTTTACAATGGTATGGGACAGTAGGACAAGGGCAAATGGCTTCAAACTGAGAGAGGGCAGGGTTAGGTTGGATATTAGGAAGAAATTCTCTGCTTTGAGGGTGGTGAGGCCCTGGCACAGGTTGCCCAGAGAATCTCTGGTTGCCCCATCCCTGGCAGTGTTCAAGGCCACGCTGGATGGAGCTTGGAGCACCCTGGGATAGTGGAAGTTGTCCCTGACCATGGCAGGGAGTGGAACAAGATGATATTTTATCTCCCTTCCAACCTCAACCTTGACTAAAAATATGATTTTTAGGGAGTGTAATGCTGGTGAAAATTTCCTAAAACACCAGTGTTTTCCTCAGAAAACACTAACCTGTAAAATCTCAATAATCTTATAGGGGGATGCATAATTTTGGCAAAACTCTCAGGTGTTTTCTGGGTTATTTTCCAAGTTTTTCCTCTTTCCTCCCCCTTTATCTGGGCCAATGAATATTTAACAAGGAATTTGTTTATTATCAGAGATTTCTAATAGAGCTCCCTCCCCAGAGAGCCAAGTTTCATGCTCTGGATATCCAGCTATGATGTTTGAGCACAGCAGCAGCAGGAGCTGGAAAGGATCTCCTACAGCTTGAACCCTGGAGCACCAGACACCCTTCTGGGTTACTGCAGGGTACCCAGGCACAACCTTTGTACTTTTGTAGGAGATTTCAAAAGATTCTGCTTCCCTACTGATGTGGAATAGAACAAATAGGACGTGAGATGAAATGCTGGACATGCTGCCTGGGTGTTCCTGTTTCTCAGAGCTGACGTCAAGGAGTGCTTGGGATACTTCACTTCGTTGTACATGTCCCTATGAAAGCTGAGAGGCTGCTGAATATGTGTTTATCACACACAGATGGGGTAAAAGCAATATGACATTTGCTGAGATCCAGCATGTCAAATGATTTTTCCCTCCGTTACTTGCCTGTATTTTCACAAAGTTATTTTTCATACTAATATCTTGACAGTGGCTTCATTTTTGACACTTCTAAGATGTGCTTTTTGGTTTGTGCTGAATTGTGCTACCTTTTAGGTGTTAGTCCAGGCAAGAAGCATATAACACCAGGAATTTCTTACAATTTCTATTCTGGTTCCCAAGAAGCACATGTGCTAAGAGATGATAAGAGCAACTACTACAGAACAAGTCTAAGCCTTATCTGTGGAGAGGAGTGTAAGAGCTCTTCAGCTGTTTCACATAACGGGCCTTAAACACAGTTTTGAATAAAGGTTATGAAGTAACTTAACAGTGTGACAGTTTCTGAAGAAAGAATATTTTTCATATTTAAAATGCCCCCACGGTAGCAGTTCCATTACCAAATTTGGCCTCTGGGCTAAACCAAAGGGAAGGTCATTGCTTTTATTATCCCAAAGTCTTGCTGAGTGTCACGGGCCAGTATCTCCCATCTTTTTCTCCATCTATTGCTATGTTAGAACAAATCTTCCACAAAACTAGCCTCACTCTTGTTCTTGACAAATCTCACCAGTAGGCTAACATGAAATTACAGAATCATTACGGTCGGAAAAGATCTTCACCATTAAACCGTGACCTCAAGGGCCACTTCCACATTCCATTTAAACACCTCCTGGGTTGGTGGCTTCACCATTTCCCAGAACAACCCATTCCAATGTTTGACAACCCCTTCCATGGACAAATTTGCCCTAATACCTATCTAAATCTTCCCTGGCACAACTTGAGGCTACTCCCTTAACACCTCATACTAAATAGAAAGCAAGGGTTGGAAACTTTCACATGACATTTGAAATTTTTATTGTCAGAATATCCAATTTATTCCCATAAAATAAATTCATGGCAAGATGTTTGAGCAAGCCCAAGCAGAAAAGGTCCATTAGAGCAGGGACAGTAAAGGATGTTCCCCACCCCTGGGCTGCTCCCATCACTCCAGGACAAGCTGCCAAAAATGGGATTCCTCTAATGTAAAGGCCATGGTTAAACTGTGATAAACAGGAGATGGACTCTCTAATTTAAAACTTTCTTGACAGCTCCTGTCTCCACTCTAGGCTGTGTGCAAGACTTTTAACCCTCAAGCAAGACATTTGACCTGTGAGCTTCAGCCTCACCGACTGCAAGGCAGAGATAAACTAACAGTCAGGGCAAGGAAGATTAATTAGTGAACGCTGAGAAAGAGCCCACAAAGCTCTAGGTCCTGTAAATTATAATATCACATTTGATGGCCACACCTCCAGCATAATTATATCTCAGTTTAACCAAAGCCAAGGGGGACAGGGGGCACTGGGAGATAGAAGCGAAGACGTGACACTCCCTCCCAACCCACCGGTGACGTCTGAGGTTCATGGGCTGGTCACTGGTCTCAGCCCTCTGCCCTTGGGTCCTCAGACTCTCCCCAGGACTGACAGATACTCTGACACCAGCATCAATAACAACACTGGAAGAAAGGCAAATTTTAGGAAAAGATGAGGTAGCAAACTGGCATGGAAAAGAGCCATGTTAAATATTAATTTGGTCACTGATGGAAAACCCAAGGCTCAACACATGTAACTGGAAATTATTCTTTTAAAATCATTATTGTCAGATTCTTGGGTTTTTCTCCACAGAAATGACCATCTGAAATCAAATTATGCTTTTCACTTGATGTTTTGCATCATTAACACTCCTCTGGTTTCTTCTCTTTTCCCACTGCTCCATGAAGTGCTGAAAGAAAAAGAGGAAAGCCCTGGATGCCACATGAAAATCAAATTATGGCTTTTATTTATTTTGTTGAATGAACCAGAAGATTTTTTATTTCAAGCACTGACTTTAAACCACCAGGGGTTTTTAGGGCACTCAAAACCATTCATCTATCTTCTTTAAAAAGTCTTTTCCCAATGCAAACAAATTCCAGAAAACTACATTAAAGATAACAAAGGAAGTGTTATCTTCTGTTAAACGTGTTATTTTATTTAGTGATATACAGCATTCTTTCTGCAGGCACATATGATAAGTTTCCCACCAAGTGATTGCTAAAGGGTCAAAAGAGGCTTATTTTGGCAAAAATGGAACTGTAGCCCTTGTGATTTTTGCACAGGACTGACACATTGAGGGACATTTTCTGAGCACTACTGCTTCTGAAGCACAGAAATGACAAAATTTCAGTAAATTGAAAGCAAGAATGGATTCACCTCTTATGTAAATGTGGCTGTGCAACTCCGGTCAGATGATGGAAGTGATTTTCCACACTCACCCAACAACGTACCAGAAAATGTCTCCTAAAAGAGTCTCTTAATTTGATGCTTTTTTCTAGGAGTGACTCTTGTGCAGATGCCACAATTTCTTATGGCAGGAAATACTTCTCAACATCTTGCATTTTATTCTTTATTTTCAGCACAAAACCAACATATATATATATATATATATATATATATACACACATATATACTTTATTAAGAAATTCAGTGAAAAAAGTAAATTTCTAAGGATTAAAACTGGAAAGGTCAGCAGCAGCCTTCCATCTGAATGAAGGACATAAAACTTTTACAAAGAGCAAAATATTTCTTGAAAGTATTATGTGGTAACCTACCTACAATTGCAGGAAAAGTCGTCAATGACCTAAAAATTCCATACTCCTGAAGAGACAAAAGCTGGATGATTGAAGAGGTAAAAAATGTCAGTCAATAAATTAGGTGTTGGAAGCAGTGATCATGCTTCTTCCATGGATAGCAGTGGTTCAGTGTTCATGAGGAAATCAATTTATAAATGGGAAACGAGAAAAAAGGCAATGGAAAAGAAATGTGTAAAGAATCTGGAGGGGAAAGGTAAAATGAAAACAAGTTGTAGTGTGTGAATGCAGGGAGACAAACCTTGTGATAAGGGAGAAGCCAGCCAAAGACGTGGAAATTTGCTGGGCAGATAAAAATAGCCAGAAATATCAACAATCACCAAGCCTAGTATTTAATAGTGAGCATTGAGGAGGTTTTAGCCCCCTTGAAGCCTCTCCCACCACCTGCCCATGGCCCAGGAGCATCATTTTGGCTCAGTCTGTTTCTGGTCTTGCTTTTTGCCCTGCCTCCTGGATGAGCTTTGGACCATCCTTTCTGTAATCAATAAACATAAGGATGGGAGCATTTCTGG